CTGTCCCTAATCCCACCTCTGCTCCCACTGCCATCCACACCACTGTCCCTCACTCCCCCTCTGCACCCACTGCCCCCCACAGCACTGCCCGCCCTGTCCCTCTCTCCCCCTCTGCTCCCACCGCCCCAGCCACAAGCCCCCCTCCCCACAAGCCCACCCCAATTCCCAGCTCCACCATCTCCACCCAAGAGAGCATCATCTCCTCCACGCCCGAGACCACCACAGCGCCCTGCCCGACCAGTGCCCCCCCGGGGTTCCCCAGCCCTTCCTCCACCACCACCAGCAGTGAGGCCACCAAACCAACCCCCGGAGCTGTGCCGGAGTCACCACGACCGACATCCCATGGACACATCAACCTGCAGCCCAAGCCTGGTAAGGTGGGAATGTTCCTAGTCAGGAGAAGCTTAGGAATGCTGCCGAGGCTGAGGTCTTCAGCAGGAAGCAGGTGATCCACCTCGTTCCTGCTGGATTCAGTCCTGGTTTCACAGGCAGTGATGTGTCTGTGCAGCCCTGGAGCTGCCTCAGGTCCTATGAGCTCTCAGGTCTGCCCAGGAGCACCCTGAGGTGTCTCCTCACCCCCCAAGCCCCCAGCACTGCAGAAAGCTGGAGGAATCCTGGAGTAATCCTGGAGGAATCCCGTTCCTGCCGATGCCTGGGCTGCTCTCCACCTGGGTTTGGCCTTCCCTGTTTTAGCTGCATGTGGTGCTCCTGAATGCAAGCACTAAAGTCTGAGCTCCTTTGCTCTGGCAGAGCTGCCCCTGTAGCTTTAATGACCCTGGGGATTCACTCCTGCCTTGTGCTGGTGAGTCAGGCAGCTCAGCTTGGGGACAGTCACACCTGGGGCAGGCCAGTGCCCGAGGAGCAGGTACAGGCAACGTCCCAGGGGGCTGAGAAGTGCTGTCCTGACACATGGGATCCCCTGGGATACCTGAATTCCACTGCCCTCCCAGCTCACACGTGCCCTGCACCTGGATAATCCCATTATTTGTGTTCTCCCCCCAGATTCAGGACCCAGACTGTCCTCCTGCCTCATCCACATGCTGGCTGTCACTGTGGGGACCTTGCTGCTGCAGGGGCTGCTCTGACCCCCCCCTCAGCACCACACCCACCCCATCCCTCCTTCATCTCCACCACCCTGCAACACAATGGTGCTGGGAAATTCCCTGCTGGAAAAGCAGAAACCCGGGAAAGGAAGAGAACTCCTCCATTTGATACCAGCACAGAACGGGATTATTATTTTTGAGGCTGGGCAGTGAAAGGAGAACTGGTATTTTTCAGCCCAAAGAAGCCCCACAGGTACTTACTAGCAGTTTACTCCATGTAGTACCAGCTGAGTGCTCTGACAGGGCAATAACACCCAGCCCACTTCTACCAGGGGATTTCCTTCTAAGGAATCCCACTGGGATCTGTGAAACAGTGGGACAACTCAGGGATTTGAGTCACTGGCCACTGCAAAAGAAGCAGAACACGGCCCAGCAACGCAGCTGAGAGATCCCCAAAATTGCATTTACTCGTTTCATGAACTGCTTTTTGATCCAGATCTGTTCAAACTCCACGAAGACTGTGATGGGATGATTCACTGCAGATAATTTATCTTGATTATTGGTGCAATGCTATACAATAAACCATCAATCAACTAGTGTTTTCCTAATCTTTGAGGTGTTTAGTGCTTTGTATTGTACTTTTTCTAGCTCAGATCTAAAGTCTGCACTGAAGGGCAGACCAGGCTCTCCTGCTCTCCTTCTGTAAAGCAATGACAGCAAAGATTATTTTATATATCTCTATATCTATCTATGTATCTATATCTATATCCCTCTTTCTCCTCCAGGCTCTCCTCCCTGGGGGAAAGGGGATTGTCAGGCTGGATACAGGTTGTACTGAGGCATTTTTTGGACAGAAATTCCCAATGAGTGGGGGAAAAAATTGTTTAAAACCTTCTATAAAGTTCTTTCCCCTCCCCTTGAGGAAGCTGAGAACACTCTCAGCTATGAAGTGTTGGATAATCAACATCAAGGAAAAGTAACAGGCAGGTCTGAGGGCTCTGCCCACTCAATTTGGGCAGCCTAAAGGAAGAGCAGACAACAACAACTTTGCTTTAGCGTTTTTTTACTTAATTCCATGATTTATTTACAATCAGCCAGCAAACTTCCCTTCCACTCTGAGGTCTTGGCAGTGTCACGAGATCAGGCTCTGTGAAATGTCATTTTTAATCTGCAGAACACCTTAAACCCCCCAGTAAAGCATGCAGGTGGTTTGGGTTGCAGTGTTATGGTTGGGGCTGACCTGGACTTGAGCTCTACCAAAGGCAAAGATCCTGCTCTGAAGAGTCTGGAATCTTCCCTTCAGCCAGAACTGGGTTTTTCCGAGTGATTTGAAAGACAAAAGTACCTAAAAGTGACTCCTGGGCTGATCTCAGTTGCCTGGTGCTCTGGGTACCCCTCAGCCCCAGGCTGGAGGTGCCTACAGGCCTCAGAGCAGGTCACAGGATGGAAACCCTGGTCTTGCTTCCTCTGGAGAGAAGATGGTCAGGACAAGATGGACATCATGAGGAAAGTGAGGAGCAGGGCAGGCAGGAGGTGCAGGGCCATGGCCATGGCACCCAGAGGGGCTGAGGATGGTGCTGGAGGACAAAGAGGGGCATTAGTGCAAAGGAACCAGCGACTGAGCTGCTGCTCCATGGGGAAAACATCTCCTCATGCCCCATCCAGGGACGACCTTGGCTTGTCTCACAGCCCCACCAAGTCAGGTTTGGGGTTTGGAACTAGAAAGTCCCTTCCTACCCAAACCATTCTGTGATTCCATGATTCTAAGCCCAAATCCAACACACCACAGAGGAGGAGCCTCTGGAAGCACTCACTCAGCTGGGATGTTCAGCCAGTGAGGATGCTCCCAGTGGGATTACAGGATTGCTCCTCATATTGGCCCCGGATTTTGCCCCACAGGGCTTCAGGCTCCTCAGCAGAGCTGAACTTGCTGCCCCAGTTTTTCTCCTTTGTTGTAACCCCAAAACAAGTATTTAAAACCCAACCCAGCCTTCAGAGGTCCTAAAAACACCCACCTGGGAATTTGGGAGTGATGAGGTTGATGTAGCCTTCCTGTGTTCCCCCCGTGAGCCCGATGTGCAGCTGGTCCAGCTGGGATTGTTGCTGTAGCTGGATCCACTCCCGGACAGGAGAACTGTACTGCCACTTGGCCAGGTCTGGGAGGTTGATCCCCAGCAAGCCCTGAACCTCACGGGGCGTCAGGCTCTAGGAGGAATCCCAGAGCAGGAGTTAGGGGTGGAAATGTAGGAATGGAAGTTACACATCTGGCCAAGAAAATGACACCTCTGGCCAAGGAGACGGTGAGGTTCCTATTGGGAGAAGTGGGAAGAGCAAGGAAGACAAATTCTTGCCGTGGTTCCCCTCGGGATAATCTTCCCTTGGGGTCGGGGAATGAACACGGTGGTTCCTCAAAGGCTAATTCTGTTTTCCTCTGATGACAAGTCTCCTGAACTCAACTGGGGGCCCCAGTCCCTGCCCAAATCACTGGGATTTCTCCCAAAATTGATGGCATTACTGCCAAGAGTCCGGTTAGAAGATCTGTCACGCAATTGTGACCATGGTCTAGTGGACACCTGTCCCCTGCTTCTGTCACTGGTGCTATAAGCCCGCTCTGGAGAAACTCAGCTGGCTCAGCTGCCATCTAGGGATCCAAATGAGACTTTTTAAGAAGCTTCAGACCAGTTCTCCACTTTCTGAATTTGATGGATTGACTCCTGATTTCCACCAGTGAACAGGGCGACCAAACCCAACTACTCAGCAAAACACAAACACCAGGAATCCAACAATTCCAAGGTCCAACTCCAACTCACCATCAAAGCATCTCTTCTTAATCTCACAAAAGTGCTCACGTTCATGTTCACATTGGCCTGGCTCAGAGCCTTGAGATCTTCACCAGGAGCCCCCTCTGGGACCAAAGAGAAGAAGAATATCAGAGCATGGAAGACCCCAAGTGAGCTGTGCTGGAGCTACAATGATGGCTCCAAAATTCATTAGGAATGGGGCTCCTACCAGAGTCCCAGCTACAAAATATGTGGATGCTACTCCTTTTTTGTCAGGACTTACTGATGCCTTGGGAATTAAACCAACCTGTGGCAATGCCAGACAACAGACAGAGGGGTGGGAAGAGTTTGCTCAGGCTGGGAATAAATTCTTAGCTTAAGAGGGAAAAAGAAAGTCTGGTTTGTGCCATGGAGAAGGGCTGGGAGAGAGTCTGATTTTCCCTGTCATAGTCTGACAATTGATTTGGGCAACTTTAAGTCAGGTACAGAACCTTTCAACAGTATTTTATGCCATCTACAGGTTGGAAAGGCAAACTGTGAACAACTTGGCTTTGAAAATTCCTAGAACTCCGATGGATTTTGATACCCATTCAGCTGTGGCTGAGATCCCTCTTCCCCCATAACATAATGGTTTTTACATACCCAGATAAGGCAAAATCAGCTCGTAGTAAGCAGGAAAGACGTGCTGGGGATAGAAAGCTTCTTTGGCTTTCTCATACAAGAGGTCTTTGGTCTGTTGTGAACAGGCTGAAGGATTCAGAGACACCAGTCTGCAGAAAAACAAAGATTTAGGGTGAAAAAAGCTTTTGTTATCCTCAACCTGTACAAATTTTCACCTCTTCTGAGTATCTCTCTGGGATTCTCTACACAGCACAGGTGACTCCCTCTTCCCAGCAGACAGAAGATGTGTGGAGAGAAGCTGAGAGGGTAAAATAATGGCTCAGTTTCCTGCTCAGAAGGATTTGTCTTCAAAGTTAGGAAGGTTCTGATGGTGAACAGTAAGTTTGTGTTTGCAAAGCTGTAATTAATTAATTTAATTTACCAGTCTTTCAAAGGAATTTAAACTGGAAGTGTCCAAGAAAGGTACAGGTGTGGCACTTGAGGACATGGTTTAGTGGTGAACATGGTGATGCTGGTTGATGGTTGGGCTTTGATGATCTTAATGATCTTTTCCAAACTTAAAGATTCAGTGATTCTATGAAATTAAACTTAATTAATTATCTTTTGCCCCCAGATAAAAGCAGGGCAATCTGCTGCCAGCTGAGCTGCCATAAAGAGGGTTTGACTGCAAATCTGAGCCCTTCCTGGCAGGACAGAGACCAGCAGGTTTTAAACCTGGACAGAGAGCAGGTATTGAGCTCCTTCCTAAATTTCTTTTCATTGAGTAGAGAAGAAAAAAATAAAAAAGGAAATTGCACTTACTGATGGGAAAGTGCTTTTCCAAGAAGCCAAGAACAGCCCAATTTGTGACTCACCTCAGGCTGCTGGGCTCTATGGCCTGCACCTCCGTGGTGTTCAGCAGGCACACATATCTGGTCCCGATGGCATCCAGGGCAGTGGCATTCAGGGCATTGCCCAGCTCAACATAGCGTTTGATTGCTGCTGAGGCCTGGAAACACATTTAATTTGATTAAGGGGATTGAATCAGGGTCCTTGTTTTCACCCCCCAAAGGAGAACGTGCAATAATTGCAAAAACAAACCAGGATCATTTCAACTCTGCTCGTTTGGCCCTCAAGGATGGGCCACCCAACCCTGTGGGACCAAGGGTGGTTCAACCATCTTCGAGCCCTAATCCTAAACCAGCAGCTCCCAAACCAGGGAGGAAACACAAGTAGGAAAGCAAAGCTGAGTCCCTACCAGGAGATCTGGGGGCTGACTTTTCAGGAAGGCAGCCAGGGCATCAGCTGAGCTCATCTTCCATGTGGAAACCTCCTCGGGGGTGATGAGAGGGAGGAGGGGACCCAGCCTGGAGAGGAGGCTTTCGGGATAACCATCAGGATACCTCTGTGGAAACACCACTGTTATTGCCACAAAGTGGGGCTGAGGGACCTGGTGTTTTAGTCTGAAGAAGAGAAGATTAGGTGAGGATTTCATTGGTGCCTTCAACTATTTAATAGGAGATGGTAGAGAGGGGGGAGCCACGTTCCTCTCAGAGGTGCACAGTGAAGGCCAAGGCCCAACAGGCAAAGAAAACTCTGGTTAGATATTAAGAAATAGATATTTTCACAGTGAAGTGGTCAAACACTGGGAGAGGAGCCCCAAGAGATGACGGAGCCCCAGTCCTTGGAGGTACTAAGTTTAACTGGACAAGTCCCTGAGCAACC